ACAATTAGATACACCTGATAACAGGGGGCAGAAGACTACACAAAAAATAATGTTGACTTATTGCATAGTAATAAAAAATTATTAATATAAAAAATGTATTTCTGTTTTTTCTTTTTACACATTTTTTGTTAAAAGGCCAAATAAGGAATTCAAACCAAAAAAAAAGTAATTTTCTATTTTTTGTTTTATTCTTGGATCAGGCTTTAAAGGGTTAAAAGCAGAAAAACAAGAAAAGAAAAATAATCAAAATTAGACAGATGAAAAGTGAAGGGTGGTGATAAAATACGTTCAATTTCCATCTGCACAGTTAAACAGATGTTTTCATCTGGATTTAAACATTCAGAGTTGAGTTCTGTCTCACGTCTTCAGGAAGACTGATCCAGATTTTAGGAGCCTGGATCTGAAATTAAGCTTCAGCTGGTTTAGTTCTGACTCTGGGCCCTCAAGCGCCAGTCAATATTTACATCGTTTTAAACATGCTCCTATTTAAATAAAAAGGGAGACAAAAAAAAGCTAAGCTCTGATATCCGGGCAGTCTATAAATAGAAAACTTGATAAGAGATGCTACATAAATTCTGTCAAGGTCTTCTAATCCTGGACACCACTCCCATTATTCTGCAGCTCTACGGTTGACGGTCAGCAGAGCTTCACTTTTCAGACAAGAAAAATAGAGACAATTTAACTTTTTTTTGGTCTGAAGTCTTAATTTTTATCATTCATTATGTGCGATAAGTTCAAATTAGTAGGGGTATTCTTCCCTTTCCATCAGGTTGTTTACAACTGGGTTTTGATTCCAAAGGTTTCAGAAACTTTATATTTCAAATAGGATAGAAATGGCATTCCAGGGTTCATTTAAAAGATAAAACCAGCATGAGGAAGCCAGTGGGTCTTACCTGTGTTGAGTAATATTATGGCTTTCATGCAAAGAAATTCTTCGCGAGTAACTTGAAGATTCGCAAACTCCTGTGGAATAAACTGTATCGCCAGGCAGAGATCATAAATGGGAGATCTTCTCATTTGCTCCCTGAAAAACAAATAAATAGAAATAATTCAGCTCGAGGCGGCTCTTCTCCAGAATCACAGTGTCACGTCTGGGGGAATGTCTGGTGTGTGGTCATGTCTTGATTACCTATTGTGTACACCTGGGGTTCCCCCCCCTCATGTGTTTAAATAGTCCTCGTTTCCCATGTCCTGTACCAGTC